TGGCATTTCGGAAGTTAATTGTTCCTCTCTTTGGAGCTGTGGAGAGAAACAGCAGCATCCACAGAAGCTGTTGTCTTGCCATCTTCCTGCAGCCTTACTTAGCAGGACTCTCTTTAGGACAAGGGTTTCTAACCTTGGCAATTTTAAGACTTGTGGACTTCAATTCCCAGAATTCTCCAACCAGCTGATGGAGAATTCTGGGAGTTGAAGTTCATAAGTCTTAAAGTTGCGAAGGTTGGAGACCCCTGTTAGAGGACGTTATTTTTTGCAGAATATGAAATAATTTATTTTCTTTCATAGGATTCAGGTTGCTTACTGAACAAGCAGATGTGAAGAGGGAGGGGGAACATGCCTGGGTTTTGGCCAAGCTGGCTGTTCCGCTTATCAGGTTGAGCACCCATTCTGTCTTCCAGTCTCTTTCTGAAAATCACATCACTCTGTATCACACACATATATACATCCTTGAAATCATATGTTAGAGCAGTGTGTGTGTGTGTGTGCGTGCGTGCATGCGATGTGTGTGCTTTATGATACAAATTTGATAATCTCCTCAGCCCACTGGTATGGTTCCAATTTAAGCTGCAAGGCCATAAAATTCGAGCTCTTTGTTTTCCTGAAGGCCACAAGATTTTCAAAAGATACCATTGTGCCGCCCAAAGCCCATAAAGTTGTCACTAGGCACTGATTAAACAGTCCTGAACAGCGCAGATTTTTGTCTAGGTCCTTTTCAGACACCACAATGTCCTTTTCAACCTCTGAGACAAAAGGAGGTTTACGGAGCGATTCTCTTATAGAGATTCTTCAGAGATAAACTCAACCATATGGGAAGCAAGGTGGCCAGCAGCTGAGACCATAACATGAAAAAAAAAATTAAAAAGGGAGAAAAGAGGCTAAAAAGAAGAACAGGTGACAACAGGACTGTCCATCATCCCGACCGCTTTCCGTCAAGGATTTTTCCAGACACACACAATGGGGCCCAACAACAGAACCATCACAGATCTTTCCAAGGGTGGACTCAAAAGATGCAGCCAAAGTTATCAGCAAAATCCGCAGGGCATAGGTGTGAGGAAAGCCTGCAAGGATCAGTGCTATAGAGCAAGGTTTCCAACCATGGCAGCTTTAAATCTGGAGGACTTCAACTCCTATAATTCCCAAACCAGCAAAGCTGGCTGGGGAACTCTGGGAGTTGAAGTCCTCCAGGCTCAATGCTGCCAAGGTTGGAGACCCCTGCTGTAGAGTCAACACCCAGGGCCGCTGTGTCCTCCATCATCTCTAGCTAATGTCTCCTTGCTGAGAATCTTGAGAGTAGCATTTCTTGAGAGTGGAAAGGCCCAGCTCGCAGAATCTCATACCAATGTTCAGGGATCTTGGGAACTTTTAGTTCTGCAATGTTGAAAAGCCCATGAAACCATCTGTTTCCCCACCTCAGAACAACTTGAAGATAAACAACACAACTCATGTACACATACACACACATTTTCCTTTGTAACTATTAAGGAAAATAGAGTCAGATTTTGGCTTCTTCTACCATTTTCCTTGAGTTCTGAATGTCTGAGGGATGTGTGGCAAGACATAAACATCAGGAAGAGAAAAGGATAAAAGCCTGTTCTTTCTTAGATGGCCCTAAAACTAGTCTCCTCAACCAGGGGATCTGGCAGAAGGAAATTCAGGTCATCACTATTTGAGGTGGTGTCTGAATATTTCCCAATTACATTGTCAAGGATCATTATGTATGACTCCTCAAGCCATTACCAAAAGCCAAGGTCAGCATATTCAAAGCAAAACAGTATTGGATATTAATGTCTTGGATTTTTTTTAAAAATGCTGCTATTTTAAGTAGTGATCAACAACATAATTGCAATTGTATAAAATGAACATAACATGCTTCAAACTTTCCATCTTCGGTTAAATCATGGAGGAGGAGTAGAAAATATCAAATTGCAACTTTTATTATGGCATAAGAAATGGCATGTCTTGTGCCTTATTGGAATTTAAAAATAAATCTCAAACTCAAACTTCTTTTTAAGGAAGTCTGATTATTGGAGATTCCCAGGAACAAATTACCTTTCAGATTGTGGTAGATGATATGATCTAAAGTTTCTGACAAAGCATTAGTTATCAATATTTATTCTTAATACAGTACATCTGGTGCACAATCCCTTTCAAGAATGTCATTTTTCCATGGGATATATTTGACTGTGTACTCATTGTCTAGTTCTTTCCTTTTCTTTCTAGTTCTTTACTTTTCTGTTGGTTCCTAAGGACCTTAGGCCAGACTGGGCCAGGAGATTGCTTTACATTAATGCAACATTTATTGAAATTTGCAGTACTAAGGCCGACCTATTCCTTTTATTAGATTCATTCTACAGCAATATTTTCAGACTATTTATTATTATTCTCAATAACATCACCCTGAATGTTCATCTTAAGCAGCATCTTGTCTGGCTACATCCACATAGTTAACCCAATAGCAATCACATTTGTTAATATGGCCATTATTTCACAGTACCAAGGACAGAGAATGGGAAGGAAGAAGTCATATCCTAAGGAAATTATGGCAACCTGCCCTGCTCTCACACAACAGATATGAATTCAACCACATAGATGGTCCCCAGGGTCACCATGTAGGGAAAGCTGTTGGGACCAAAAAGGAAGCAGAAAATGCTTGCCCTCCAATGTTCAATACCCTTCCCCTTTAAGGTTCAAATAGACATTTGCAAACAACTATAATCTATCCCCAATTGAACAGAAGTATTGGAATCTGCACCACCTTTATTAGAGCTGGAAATTGTTGAATTAATTCCCAGAATTCTGAATCCCCAGGTAATCCAATTGAAATATTGTACACCTAATGTGCAAGAGGACTTTGGAAAGGTAGCAGTAATATACTACAGTGTCTAAACGAGCCCAACCATTTTGGTAGTGAGATCTGATTGACAAAGACAAGCTTCATCACGCCACAATGAGGGAATGCTTTCAATCACGAGTACTGTATGGAAATGACTCAAAATCAAGGTTTTTTAAATTCAATTTCTGAATACCACAGTTGATTTCATCAGATTTCTGTGTGTGTGTGTGTGTGTGGTTTCCAGAAACTGAGCTGGTTCAGAGCAAATCTTTTATTTATTCAATTGCGTGCCACCATCTTGTCTAAAATTTCTTTACTTTTGTGTCACAGAAGGTTGTACATTTGGCAATTATTTTACTATTTAAACGCTGGTTATTCCATCATCATCCTTGTAACGTGTACTTGCCAACTGGACTTTAATCCATAAAATTTGTTGAGGAACACATTTGTTACAGTGCTCAAAGAGAAGCCCTTTAAGTTCAATGAGTTTTACTTCTGAGACTACACACGACTTCATTGTATTTGTCTTTTTTGGAACTGAACCCAGAAGGATAATTCTTCCAACAGTATTAAACAAAATGCCACAAGGCATTTCTAAGGAGTTTGAACCAATCATCCAAATACATGTTTTTAAATCTCCTCTCTTCCACTCTGATCACACAAGTAGCTTCTGATGGCAGTTTCTGACCACTACCCCCAAGACACTAATTTCCAGCAATCCCCATGAGAATTATTTTTTTAAAAAGAAACTACATCCAACACAGATTGCTCTTTATCTGCTGCACTTCAGTTGAAATGCAACTGGTTCTTTATGTCAGTATTCCTAGATTCTTAAAACAAAAGGCCTAAAGAAAGGTTTGGCAGGTATTGTGCAGTCATCCAGAGTTTTTGCCTCTTCCAATTAGGCTTCCATTGACTTTATTCCCAAACCATTCTAACTTCACTTTCTTCTATTCTATAAAGGAATCCAACACAAGTGTTCCTGGATGACAAACTCCCATTTGTCCTGTAAAAATGTGCTTCTGAATTTGTAAGCCTTGTAAGCCTGTTTTCTGAAAAGATGTGTCTATGTGTGCTGGAATCAACCCGGATGATCTCAAAAGTTGCAACTGGCCAAAATGCAAACCTCCACAAGCCATCTCAGAAGCAACTGCCACAGCAGCCCTATGCAGCCACTAGACTGTACTCCCGGGCAAGAGTAGAATTGCAACCTCTAGTTTCTGTTCTTGGCATTTACACAGAGGGCCTCACTTTTTGCAAGAAGGCTATACACACAACTAGGAGCCCCCAGAATTGGCAGCCCTCTTGTAAGGACCATCTTATTTGCCTTTTCATCCTAAGCACCTATTTGGGCATGGCTTCCGTGTGAAGTAAAACACAGCTGGAGACTCTTCCCAAGAAAATTGCAGTGGATCTTTTCTTGTTATATATCAGAGGTCCTCAAACTTGGCAACTTTAAGACTTGTGGACTTCAACTCCCAG